ACACACCTCCAAGCTGTGTAAGGGCTGTTTTACCAAGAAGGAGAGTGATGGAGTGCTGCATCAGATGACCTGGCTTCCACAATCCCCCGACCTCAACCCAATTGAGATGGTTTGGGATGAGTCGGACCGCAGAGGGAAGGAAAAGCAGCCAACAAGTGCTCAGCATATGTGGGAACTCCTTCAAGGCTGTTGGAAAAGCATTCCAGGTGAAGCTGGTTGAGAGAATGCCAAGAGTGTGCAAAGCTGTCATCAAGGCAAAGGGTGACTATTCGAAGAATCTCAAATATAAAATATATTTTGATTTGTTTAACACTTTTTTTTGTTTACTGCATGATTCCATATGTGTTATTTCATAGTTTTGGTGTCTTCACTATTATTCTACAATGTAAAAAATAGTCAAAATAAAGAAAAGTAGGTGTGTCCAAACTTTTGACTGGTACTGTATATCTGGCAGACTTTTTTTTTAACATAGTACAATTATATTTCATACAGGTATGGTCATGCAAAATGGATCAAATAAAACCTCAATGAGTTGTTTGGCAGCCATTTTGGGGAGAAAATATTTGTCACTCCAACAATGCAGAGTTAAAGATACAAAAAATAAGAATAATGAAATAGTGGCAAGAGGAATAGATACACAGTGAATAACGAATAACAAACACAAGTAAAAATAACATGGCTATATACAGGAAGTAACCAGGTAATAACATGGCTATATACAGGAAGTACCAGGTAATAACATGGCCAAATACAGGGACTACCAGGTAATACCATGGCTATATACAGGCAGTACCAGGTAATAACATGGCTATATACAGGGAGTACCAGCTAATAACATGGCCAAATACAGGGAGTACCAGGTAATACCATGGCTATATACAGGCAGTACCAGGTAATAACATGGCTATATACAGGGAGTATCAGGTAATAACATGGCTATATACAGGAAGTACCAGGTAATAACATGGCTATATACAGGGAGTACCAGGTAATAACATGGCCAAATACAGGGAGTACCAGGTAATACGATGGCTATATACAGGCAGTACCAGGTAATAACATGGCTATATACAGGGAGTACCAGTACCGAGTCGATGTGCAGGGGTACGAGGTAATTGAGGTAGATATGTACATATAGGTAGGGATAAAGTGACTAGGTAACAGGATAGATAATAAACAGTAGCAGCAGCGTATGTGGTGAGTGTGAAAGTGTGTGTGTGTGAGTGTGTGGCGTCAGTATGCATGTGTACACATGCTATGTGTGTATGGCCGTATGTAGCGTGTGTGTGTATGTGTGTGTTGAGGTGTCAGTGTAAGTACTGTATATATGAGTGTGTGGGTAGAGTCCAGTGTGTGGGTAGAGTCCAGTGTGTGGGTAGTGTCCAGTGTGTGGGTAGAGTCCAGTGTGTGGGTAGAGTCCAGTATGTGGGTAGAGTCCGGTGTGTGAGTAGAGTCCAGTGTGTGTGTAGAGTCCAGTGTGTGTGTAGAGTCCAGTGTGTGGGTAGAGTCCAGTGTGTGGGTAGAGACCAGTGTGTGAGTAGAGTCCAGTGTGTGGGTAGAGTCCAGTGTGTGAGTAGAGTCCAGTGTGTGGGTAGAGTCCAGTGTGTGGGTAGAGTCCAGTGTGTGGGTAGAGTCCAGTGTGTGGGTAGAATCCAGTGTGTGGGTAGAATCCAGTTTGTGTGTAGAGTCCAGTGTGTGGGTAGAGTCCAGTGTGTGAGTAGATTCCAGTGTGTGGGTAGAGTCCAGTGTGTGAGTAGATTCCAGTGTGTGGGTAGAGACCAGTGTGTGTGTAGAGTCCAGTGCAAGAGAGTTAGTGCAAAAAAGGGTCAATGCAGGTAGTCCGTGTATCCATTTGATTAGCTATTTTGCAGTCTTGTTTGGCAGTCTTATGGCTTGGGGGTAGAAGCTGATCAGGGTCCTTTTGGTTCCAGACTTGGTGCACTGGTACCACTTGCCATGCGGTAGCAGAGAGAACAATCTATGGCTTGGGTGGCTGGAGTCTTTGACAAATTTTTTGGCCTTCCTCTGACACCACCTGGTATAGAGGTCCTGGATGGCAGGGAGCTCGGCCCCAGTGACGTACTGGGCTGTACTCATCACCTTCTGTAGTGCCTTGCAGTCTGGTGCCTTGCAGTTGCTGTACCAAGCAGTGATGCAGCCAGTCAGGATGCTCTCAATGGTGCAGCTGAATAACTCTTTGAGGATCTGAGGGCCCATGCCAAATCTTTTCAGCCTCCTGAGGGGGAAGGGGCGCTGTCGTGCCCTCTTTACAACTGTGTGATGTGTGTGGACACCGTCAATTCCTTAGTGATGTGGACATGTTCATTCCTTAGTGATGTGGACACTGTAGTGGAGCTCTCAACCCGCACCACTACAGCCCCATCGATGTGGATGGGGGTGTGCTCGCCCCTCCGTTTCCTGTAGTCCACGATCAGCTCCTTTGTCTTGCTGATGTTAAGGGAGAGGTTGTTGTCACACTGCCAGGTCTCTGACCTCCTCCCTATAGGCTGCCTCATTGTCGCCGGTGATCAGTCCTACCACTGTCGTGTCGTCAGAAAAATTGATGATCAAATCAAATCAAATTTTATTTGCCACATACGCCGAATACAACAGGTGTAGACATTACAGTGAAAGGCTTACTTACAAGCCCTTAACCAACAATGCAGTTTTTCAATAAAAAATAAAAGACGGTGATGCAACCAGTCAGGATGCTCTCGATGGTGCAGCTGTTTGAACTTTTTGAGGATCTGAGGACCCATGCCAAATCTTTTCAGTCTCCTGAGGGGGAATAGCCTTTGTCGTGCCCTCTTCACGACTGTCTTGGTGTGTTTGGACCATGATAGTTTGTTGGTGATGTGGACACCAAGGAACTTGAAGCTCTCAACCTGTTCCACTACAGCCCCGTCGATGAGAATGGGGGCGTGTTCAGTCCTCTTTTTTTTCCCTGTAGTCCACAATTATCTCCTTTGTCTTGATCACATTGAGGGAGAGGTTGTTATCCTGGCACCACATGGCAAGGTCTCTGACCTCCTCCCTATAGGCTGTCTCATCGTTGTCGGTGAGCAGGCCTACCACTGTCGTGTCGTCGGCAAACTTAATGATGGTGTTGGAGTCGTGCCTGGCCATGCAGTCATGGGTGAACAGGGAGTACAGGAGGGGACTGAGCACGCACCCCTGAGGGGCCCCCGTGTTGAGGATCAGCGTGGCAGATGTGTTGTTACCTACCCTTACCACCTGGGGGTGATGATGGTGTTGGTGTCGTGTGTGGCCAAGCAGTCGTGGGTGAACAGGGCGTACAGGAGGGGACCAAGCAGACACCCCTGAGGGGTCCCCGTGTTGATGGTCAGCGTGGCAGATGTGTTGTTGCCTTCCTTGGATTCTGGACTTCTGTAGGGTTAATGCGTGAATACTGTAATGGCCCTGTATTTACAAATATTTTTAAAACCCTGTTATAGCTGTGTGTGTGCAATTTGGTGCTTCTATCCCCAAAGTTACAATCCAAAAACATAGCTGCCTCACTACATGGAATTCTATGGCTAAGCTTCCAACATTATAACGTCAATGGCACAATATGGGCCAATAGTTGTAGGTAGTGCTTTCAAAGTTGGTTATATTATATATAATTTGAAAGGTCATTTCATGACCTTTCAGAACCACTTGTCAAACAAAGTTTCAAATGTATCAGGGGTTCATTTTAAAGCAACCTTTACAGGTAATTCTGATATGTACCCTGAGGTCAAATGTCAAAGTTATGTTGACCTGAGCATTCCAAAAATGTGTCGAATGGATAACTGTGAATCTAAGCTTTCCAATGATATATGATCAATGTGAGCAATAACTTGTTGTATGCTGACATTGTTTGTCATAGGGTAAAATCCACAAAAATGAATGGAATGGAGGGATGAATGAAAGCCTGACAACACAAAGAAAGCTGCCATTGCTGCACTGCTACCACACATTTTACAACTCTAGGGACATAGACTTCAAGAAAATCACTAATGGACATCGTCACCCCAAGTGAGCCCGACCGACCCCCCTGGCCCATGGACTATTAGTCTGGTTCCTCCAAAAGTTTCATCTGATCTAGGGAGTGTTTTATTGCCACTGTCACATCTGCTTGCTTTACATGGGTTTAGGGCTGAGTTTAATTTTGTGACAAATGTATTTGTAAAAAAGCTTTACACAAATATAATGTTATTAATGTATTTATTGGTTGATTGATTCATAGATTAGGTGATCGATACATTGGTTGATTGATTGATTGGTTGATCATGCCAAAATATCTCTGATCATAGTATGAAAGAATAAAAAATAAAATAAAATGTATGCACTCACTAACTGTAAGTCGCTCTGGATAAGAGCGTCTGCTAAATGACTAAAATGTAAAAAATGTAATCATACGGTACCGCCAGTCCAGATTGCAGTAGCATGCCTCAAGCAGCTGAAAACTACAACTCCCAGAATACCTTTCACATGAATAAACACGAAGAAGCGGTAGGTGACTACCAACATGTGTTACTGAGGCTGATTTTACAAAGTTGCTTTTAAGCGAAGTGATTCAAGGGTACATTGGTAGAATACTAATAAACGAAATCTAAGATTGCTTTTACAGTATTGGCAAGTGGTAGAATAGAGTCGGAGAAACGGATAGCTTCACTACTACTCTGATAGCATGCTAGCTAGCAAGGTAGCAAACTGTAATGTGTTAATTGTTGTATGTCACTGGATGTGCAATCAGCACTGTTATGTTCGATATTAGAGAAGACATGATGATCTGAAGATTTTGTTTAAAGTATAGAATACATTTCTGATGCAAGGAGCACAAGTCCCCTGTTAACCAATAACGTGATGTCAAATTCAATCTTGCCCCTTTGGTTACAGAGTGCACCACCAGGAGTAGTGGTATGATATCACACGAGACAACAAGAAGGAAGCCCTGACTCTAGACTTTGACAGCCTGACATCACCCCAAAAACAGTCCAATCACGTGCCAGAAGAAGATGCCCGACCGCTGTGTGGCGTATGGGTGTGGCAAGTCTTGGGACGATGGCGTGACTCTGTACAATTTCCCCAACAATGACACAGAGGAGTTTCACAAATGGGAGAAGCAGGTCCAGCGGACACGCAGCAACTGGACCGCCACGCCGAACTCCCAGCTTTGCTGTGAACACTTCGGGAAGGAGTGTTTTGAAAACAAGCCCTACCCCGTCCTCAAGGCTCTCGCTGCCAAAGGACAGCTGAAGCTGAAGCATGGGGCGGTCCCCACAGTGTTCATACGGCCCCCCTGCACCTCCTGTGATGGCTTAGGCTGCAATGTGTGCATCCCCAAAGCCCAGAGACGTGGCGTCCCCGTAGAACCACAGGAGTATGACACGGTGAGTCTGCGACCGTGAGTGTTGTGTGTCGGTGACCACCTGACATGGGAAAAAACTGCCCAATTCTATACTTTCTTAAACAAGAGGTAGCTAGATAGATTTATAACCTAAGGTTGATCATCTGTGATGGTAAAGACTTATTTAAGAGCTAAAGCACAGTTCCATGTTCGCAGAATAGTTCAAATCATACATGACCCTCTCTCTTACCCAACCTTGTTCCTCTCTCTCAAAGGAGGATGTTGAGGGGGGCCCTCTGCAGTCGGATGACACTGACGCAGAGGATGTCGATGAAGATGACGATGAAGAGGAAGATGATGAAGACGAGATGGATGATTCCTTTGGAGATTACTACTCTGCTCTCACTATAGATGACGGACCAGGTGAGGAAAGACTGCATTTGCCTGTTGCTCTAAAGCTAATCCGTTAGCCTGTTGATCAAAAGTTAATCAGTTAGCCTGTTGATCTAAAGCTAATCAGTTAGCCTGTTGATCTAAAGCTAATCAGTTAGCCTGTTGATCTAAAGCTAATCAGTTAGCCTGCTGATCTAAAGCTAATCAGTTAGCCTGTTGTATCTAGACCTGGCCGTGTGGTGCCAGGATAACAACCTCTCCCTCAACGTGCTCAAGACAAAGGAGATGATTGTGGACTACAGGAAATAAAAGAGGACTGAGCACGCCCCCATTCTCATCGACGGGGCTGTAGTGGAACAGGTTGAGAGCTTCAAGTTCCTTGGTGTCCACATCACCAACAAACTATCATGGTCTAAACACACCAAGACAGTTGTGAAGAGGGTACGACAAAGCCTATTCCCCCTCAGGAGACTGAAAAGATTTGGCATGGGTCCTCAGATCCTTAAAACGTTCTACAGCTGCACCATCGAGAGCATCCTGACTGGTTGCATCACTGCCTGGTATGGCAACTGCTCGGCCTCCGACCGCAAGGCACTACAGAGGGTAGTGCGTACGGCCCAGCACATCACTGGGGCCAAGCTTCCTGCCATCCAGGACCTCTATACCAGGCATTGTCAGAGGAAGGCCCGAAAGATTATCAAAGACTCCAGCCACCCTAGTCATAGACTGTTCTCTCTGCTACCGCATGGCAAGCGGTACCGGAGCGCCAAGTCTAGGTCCAAACGGCTTCTTAACAGCTTCTACCCCCAAGCCATAAGACTCCTGAACAGCAAATCATGGCTACCCGGACTATTTGCATTGCCCCCCCCCCACCCCAACTCCCTCTTTTACGCTGCTGCTACTCTGTTTATTGTACATATTACCTCAATTACCTCGACTAACTGGTGCCCCCGCACATTGACTCTGTACCGGTACCCCCTGTAATAACCTCCCTACTGTTATTTTATTTTACTGCTGCTCTTTAATTATTTGCTCTTTTTATTTTTTCTTAAACTGCGTTGTTGGTTATGGGCTTGTAAGTAAGCATTTCACTGTAATGTCTACACCTGTTGTATTCGGCACATGTGGCAAATCAAATTTGAATTGATTTGTTGATCTAAAGTTAATCAGTTAGCTTGCTGATATAATGTTAATCAGTTAGCTGCTGATCTAAAGTTCCAGGCAAGGCTACTCATCATGGATCACCAAAACCACAGATCCAGTCTGTAACATATTCTCATCCTCTTCCCTCCACAGTGGTGTGTGAGATGTGTGGCTTCAGTGGGACCAGAGACACCTTCTATTCCAAGACCAAGCGTTTCTGCAGCGTCTCCTGCTCCAGAGCCTACTCCTCCAACTGCAAGAAGTCCTCTATCCTGGCACGGCTTCAGGTGAGAGAGAATGTCTTTCTGTGTGTTACAGGTGGTGAGGCTAGATGTTTATAGACTTTATACTGTATAGCCTTTATAAAGCCTTTCATATAGCATCACCCTTGTCTTCACTCATTGTTTTATTTTCTCCAGGGAAAGCCTCCCACCAAGAAGGCCAAGGTGCTGACTAAAACGGCATGGTCCACCCAGATGGGGAACATGATCGCCTCTCTGGGCAGCAGTCAGGACAACCGCTCCAGCTCTACAGCACAGGACGGTGAGACCACTTGGAGGGCTTTTCCATTGCTGGGTTAGTGGAAAAGCCACATTATAGACAGACACATACAAACTTTTAATTTGGCTCTATTCTTCAGCGTTTTGGATTTGAGATTAAATGTTTCATTTGAGGCGACAGTACAGAATGTCACCTTTTATTTGAGGGTATTGTCATATCTGTTTTGCGGTTTAGAAATGAAAACACTTTATGTATCTAGTCTCCCCATTTGAAGGTGTCATAAGTATTTTGACAAATTCACTTATAAAGTGGGGAAAAAAGTATTTAGTCAGCCACCAATTGTGCAAGTTCTCCCACTTAAAAAGATGAGAGGCCTGTAATTTTCATCATAGGTACACGTCAACTATGACAGACAAAATGAGAAAAAATAATCCAGAAAATCACATTGTAGGATTTGTAATTAATTTATTTGCAAATTATGGTGGAAAATAAGTATTTGGTCAATAACAAAAGTTTCTCAATACTTTGTTATATACCCTTTGTTGGCAATGACACAGGTCAAACGTTTTCTGTAAGTCTTCACAAGGTTTTCACACACTGTTGCTGGTATTTTGGCCCATTCCTCCATGCAGATCTCCTCTAGAGCAGTGATGTTTTGGGGCTGTCGCTGGGCAACATGGACTTTCAACTCCCTCCAAAGATTTTCTATGGGGTTGAGATCTGGAGACTGGCTAGGCCACTCCAGGACCTTGAAATGCTTCTTACGAAGCCACTCCTTCGTTGCCCGGGCGGTGTGTTTGGGATCATTGTCATGCTGAAAGACTCAGCCACGTTTCATCTTCAATGCCCTTGCTGATGGAAGGAGGTTTTCACTCAAAATCTCACGATACATGGCCCCATTCATTCTTTCCTTTACACGGATCAGTCGTCCTGGTCCCTTTGCAGAAAAACAGCCCCAAAGCATGATGTTTCCACCCCCATGCTTCACAGTAGGTATGGTGTTCTTTGGATGCAACTCAGCATTCTTTGTCCTCCAAACACGACGAGTTGAGTTTTTACCAAAAAGTTCTATTTTGGTTTCATCTGACCATATGACATTCTCCCAATCCTCTTCTGGATCATCCAAATGCACTCTAGCAAACTTCAGACGGGCCTGGACATGTACTGGCTGAAGCAGGGGGACACGTCTGGCACTGCAGGATTTGAGTCCCTGGCGGCGTAGTGTGTTACTGATGGTAGGCTTTGTTACTTTGGTCCCAGCTCTCTGCAGGTCATTCACTAGGTCCCCCCGTGTGGTTCTGGGATTTTTGCTCACCGTTCTTGTGATCATTTTGACCCCACGGGGTGAGATCTTGCGTGGAGCCCCAGATCGAGGGAGATTATCAGTGGTCTTGTATGTCTTCCATTTCCTAATAATTGCTCCCACAGTTGATTTCTTCAAACCAAGCTGCTTACCTATTGCAGATTCAGTCTTCCCAGCCTGGTGCAGGTCTACAATTTTGTTTCTGGTGTCCTTTGACAGCTCTTTGGTCTTGGCCATAGTGGAGTTTGTGTGACTGTTTGAGGTTGTGGACAGGTGTCTTTTATACTGATAACAAGTTCAAACAGGTGCCATTAATACAGGTAACGAGTGGAGGACAGAGGAGCCTCTTAAAGAAGAAGTTACAGGTCTGTGAGAGCCAGAAATCTTGCTTGTTTGTAGGTGACCAAATACTTATTTTCCACCATAATTTGCAAATAAATTCATTAAAAATCCTACAATGTGATTTTCTGGATTTTTTTCTTCTCAATTTGTCTGTCATAGTTGACGTGTACCTATGATGAAAATTACAGGCCTCTCTCATCTTTTTAAGTGGGAGAACTTGCACAATTGGTGGCTGACTAAATACTTTTTTTCCCCAATGTAGAACATTAATGGACAGGAACAGCAACACAAATTTAAACTAAGAACACTACGACTAAAGAACAATATGACTGTTTTTTTTTTTAAAGAAGAAGAGTAATACAAAGAATAATGTGTGGGTGTGTGTTGAGTTTGTGTTGGAGAGTGTGTGTGTCTCTTCACAGTACGCGTTATTCCTTGAGGTGTTTTATCTTTTATTTAATTTTTTGCTTGCCTGAGTTACCTGAGGTGGAAGAGAATTCCATGTAGTCATTGCTCTACACACTACTGCGCGACTCCCAGCCTCTGTTCTGGACTTGGGGACTGTGAAGAGACCCCTGATTGCATGTATTTTGAGCTGTGTATTAACTGGCCGAACAGACGATTCGGTACTTTCAGCACGTCAATACTTACAAAGAACAGCAGTGATGCAGTCTATCTCTCCTCCACTCTGAACCAGGAGAGAATGACATGCATGTTATTGACATTGGCTCTTCGTGTGCATTTGAGGGCCAGACGTGTTGCTCTGTTCTGGGCCAGCTGCAGCTTTTCTAGGTCTTTTTTTGCCGCACCTGACCATACAACTGGGCAATAATCAAGGTGACAACCAGAGCTTGCAGGACTTGTTTGGTTGCATGTGATGTTAAAAAAGCAGAGCATATGTTTATCACAGACAAATCTCTCTCCATCTTTACAACAATATAATCAATATGCTTTGACCATGACAGTTTACAATTTAATATAACATCAATAAGCTTAGTCTATTCAACTTGCTCAACAGCCACAGTATTCAGGACCAGATTCAGCTGAGGTTCAATGCCTAGAGAGTGATTTGTACCAAATACAATGCTTTTGGTTTTAGATATGTTCAGGACTAGTTTATTCATAGCCACCCATTCTAAAACTGACTGCAAATCTTTGTTTAGGGTTGCAGTGATTTCACTAGCTATGGGTGCTGACAAGTTTGGTGTTGAATCATCTGCATACATAGTAGGGCTGGGAATTGCCAGGGACCTCATAATATGATATTATCACGATACTTAGGTGCCGATACGATATGTATTGCTATTCTCACGATTCTATATACAGTGGGGAGAACAAGTATTTAATACACTGCCGATTTTGCAGGTTTTCCTATTTACAAAGCATGTAGAGGTCTGTAATTTTTATCATAGGTACACTTCAACTGTGAGAGATGGAATCTAAAACAAAAATCCAGAAAATCACATTGTATGAAGTAATTAATTTGCATTTTATTGCATGACATAAGTATTTGATACATCAGAAAAGCAGAACTTAATATTTGGTACAGAAACCTTTGTTTGCAATTACAGAGATCATACGTTTCCTGTAGGTCTTGACCAGGTTTGCACACACTGCAGCAGGGATTTTGGCCCACTCCTCCATACAGACCTTCTCCAGATCCTTCAGGTTTCGGGGCTGTCGCTGGGCAATACGGACTTTCAGCTCCCTCCAAAGATGTTCTATTGGGTTCAGGTCTGGAGACTGGCTAGGCCTCTCCAGGACCTTGAGATGCTTCTTACGGAGCCACTCCTTAGTTGCCATGGCTGTGTGTTTCGGGTCGTTGTCATGCTGGAAGACCCAGCCACGACCCATCTTCAATGTTCTTACTGAGGGAAGGAGGTTGTTGGCTAAGATCTCGCGATACATGGCCCCATCCATCCTCCCCTCAATACGGTGCAGTCGTCCTGTCCCCTTTGCAGAAAAGCATCCCCAAAGAATGATGTTTCCACCTCCATGCTTCACGGTTGGGATGGTGTTCTTGGGGTTGTACTCATCCTTCTTCTTCCTCCAAACACGGCGAGTGGAGTTTAGACCAAAAAGCTCAATTTTTGTCTCATCAGACCACATGACATTCTCCCATTCCTCCTCTGGATCATCCAGATGGTCATTGGCAAACTTCAGACGGGCCTGGACTTGCGTGCGCTGCAGGATTTTAATCCATGACGGCGTAGTGTGTTACTAATGGTTTTCTTTGAGACTGTGGTCCCAGCTCTCTTCAGGTCATTGACCAGGTCCTGCCGTGTAGTTCTGGGCTGATCCCTCACCTTCCTCATGATCATTGATGCTCCACGAGGTGAGATCTTGCATGGAGCCCCAGACCGAGGGTGATTGACCGTCATCTTGAACTTCTTCCATTTTCTAAACGAAAACTAACAGTCTTGAGAGCCGGCTATTGTCCTGTACCCATCAGCCTTGTGCAGGTTATCAAATTATTGTATCATGCATCCTAATAATCACTGTGAGCTCATTGCCAGATGGTAGATTTCTGGATTTTTGTTTTAGATCCGACTCTCACAGTTGAAGGGTACCTATGATAAAAATTACAGACCTCTACATGCTTTGTAAGTAGAAAACCTGCAAAATCGGCAGTGTATAAAATACTTGTTCTCCCCACTGTATATTGCGATATGATAATGAGTTTAATGCGATTCGATGTTCCAAACATATTTCTCACCATATGTCTGCTGCAGAGGGACAAGTGAGAGCCATGAGAAAATTCGTTTTGATCTGTCATGGAAGTTAAAGTGCTGAAAACCAATGGGATCCCTATTTATAAAGATAATGGAGAACAAGCTATGAAGAAAAATACTGGAGTTTTGGTGCAGGTACAGCAAACTAGCGCAAAAATAATATTGTGGTACTGTCAAAACGATACGATATATCATCAAAAATAATATCCCGATATGTAACGCTCCCCCCCCCCCCCCCCATCACTAGTACATAAACACACAGGCATTGTTTAACGCTAGTGGTAGATCATTAGTAACAATAGAGACTGTATTGTAGAGGGCCAAGACGGCTCCCTTGTGGAATACCACACTTTACATGTTTTACATTAGAGAGGCTTCCATGAAAGAAAACCCTCTGTTCTATTAGATAGATAGCTCTCTATCCATGGAGATTATGTAAAGCCATAACATACATTTTCTCAATAATAAATTATGGTCAATAATATCAAAGGCTGCACTGAAATCTAACAAATAGCTCCCACAATCTTCTTATTATACATTTCTTTCTGCCAATCATCAGTCATTTGTGTCAGTGCAGTACATGGTGAGTGTCCTTCCCTATAAGCGTGCCGAAAGTCAGTTGTTAAATTGTTCACAGAGAAATAGCATAGTATCTGGTCAAACATGCATAAATATCATACCCCTTAAAAATGCTAACCTCCCCTGTTATTGGTAATGGTGAGGGGTTAGCATGTTCTGGGGGTATGATATGTATGCCTCTGTAACTTTCTCACTCATAATTATTCACGTTTCATTCATGATTACCCGTAATCATGGTAGCATCCACATTTTATGTAGAAGTGTTCAGAAACATATTCTATTCTTATTTACAATAAAAGTGACTCCAAAATGACACAATACATATTTGACCATTAATTTCTATTGGGCACAACATAATCTCAAACACAACCAAAACAAACTGCAAATGCATCCAACAAGTTTGTAGAGTCACAAGCTTGATGGAGCCATTGCGTGCTAGGAATATGGCAACAAATACTAAACTTCTGACTACTTTCGTACACTATAAGTGAATTTGTCCAAATACAGATGACACCTTTAAATGGGGGGACTAGATACATAAAGTGCTTTCGTTTCAAAACAGTAAAACATATGTATGAAAATACCTTCAAATAAAAAGTGACATTCTGTACTGTCACCTCATAAAACATTTAATATCAAGTCGAGTATAGGGCCAAATTAAGTGTACATAGACAATATGAGCTAAAACATCACACCAGTGCAGCCAGGAAGGAAAATCCTCTCAATCTTTTTATGTAAGTTACAAGAAGGGAACATTTAGTTCCTTTCTGAGACCTGTGTTAGTTCTCCCTTTTCCCCTTGTGATATAGCTGCAGCAACAGGAAACTTTGACTGGGGTGCTTACCTGGAGAAGGCAGGCTCTCTTGCTGCTTCAGTGGCCTGCTTCAGACATGTACGTCTTCATTTGCACTTGTTACAATACTATCCTATTCCATTTTAAAGTTGCGTAGCAATAAAACGTTTACTTTATTCGACTGGTGAACCAACGTTGCCTCTGTTCCCCTCCATTCCACCCCTGCAGGCACCGCTCTGTGCCCAGTGGGATGACATCACAGTTGGGTTAAAGGTAGAGGTCCTGAACACTAGTGCCATCCTGCCCAGTAAAGTCTATTGGATCGCCAGCATCATCCAACTTGCAGGTCAGCCAAATACACTGAAACTGACTGATGGCACATCTAAAAATGGCACCATATTCCCTATACACTACTTTTGAGTACACTATACAGGGAATAAGGTTCCATTTAGGAGGCATCCTGAGACCTCAAACCTGATTTATTGGCATGTACTGTATGTTAGTTTACCTTTTCCTCCCTCTGTTTTCCAGGCTACAAAGCTCGGTTGAGGTACGAGGGTTTTGAGGAGGACGGCAGCCAGGACTTCTGGTGCAGCCTGGGCTCTGGAGACATGTACCCCATCGGATGGTGTGCCATGACCGGCAAGCTGCTGGTGCCACCACAGGGTGAGTGACCTCCACAGGTATAGAGGACTATAGGTCTAAAAGTTTTAGTTAACATTTCTGTAAAAAAAATAAAAAATGTGGGTAACGAGACATCCCTTTTTTAAGCAGTATCTGAAGAAGTGCAAAATTTCGATTACACATACTTTTTTTTTGGTGTTAATTAAACGTTTTGCTAGTTGATCAATACAGTGCATTCGGAAAGCATTCAGACCCCTTGACTTTTTCCACATTTGTTTACGTTACAGCCTTATTCTAAAATTGATTAAATAAAAATGTCCTCATCAATTTACACACAATACCCCATATGACCGTTTTTTTATTTTTTATTTTATGTAAATGTATTAAAACTAATAACAGAAATACCTTATTTAAATAAGTATTCAGACCCTGGTCACTGATGGTCCTCAGTCACATTCACATTATCTTGGACTCCACTACGACATTGGAGTCTAAAACTATCACTCTTCTCTTCCAATTTTACTCTTGTTTAATTGTTGCACTAGCTGAAGAGTTTAGAGCCATGGTTTGTTTGCTTAATTGTACATATCCAAAATGCTAAGGACGTTTGTAACAATTTACCAATACAGGGGCTGACCCTTTTCATAGCCTACTGGTTAATTTAGAATGTTTCTCATTACTCAGCCATGTGGCGACACATATGTTGGCATTATCAAAGATTCTTGTGCTCTGTTTCTCTAAAGGATTATTAAAAAAAATATTCCTGTGTTTTTTTCATGCAGCTCCATGTCTATGTCTCTTTTCCTGTTTCTTTTTCATTTCAATTATCTTCTTATAAGGATTAATGTCTAGTTCAACAACAAGTCAGGATGGTATTTTGGGGCTTCCAGTCAGACTGGTGACATGGAACATTCGCAGATGTGGGGGGCAAATTAAGCGCTCCTTAGTATTTTAACATCCGAAGAGCCTGAATACTGATATCGCATCTCTTCAAGAATATGTGTTAACGACCATACTAGATTGCGTAAAGCATGGTTTGGACAGGTTTTTCATTCAAATTTTAACGGCAAAGCCAGGGGAACAGCAATAGTGATTCACAAACGAGTACAGTTTTCACCCTCACAGATAATTTCAGATCCTGGAGGACGTTATACAATAGTTAGTGGCACCCTCTTCCAGACCCCTGTAGTACTTGTGAATGTTTACGCCCCTAACTGGGATCCTGAGTGGCGCAGCGGTCTAAGGAAATGCATCACAGTGCTAGAGGCTTCACTACAGACCCGGGTTCCATCCCGGGCTGTATCAAAACCGGCCGTGATCGGGAGTCCCATAGGGTCGTCCGGGTTAGGGGAGGGTTTGGCCGGGGTAGGCCGTCATTGTAAATAAGAATTTGTTCTTAACTGACTTCCCTAGTTAAATAAAGGATAAATACAAATAAATAAATAAATACACCTGGCTATTAGATAACACTAGATTTATGACATCTCTTTTAGCCTCTCTCCCTAATCTTGACACCCACCGCCTCATCTTCGGTGGGGAACTTAACTGTGTTATTGAACCAAAACTTGACCAGTCTAATCCCAGAACACTTACTCCTTCCGGGATGGCAAAAGCTCTTTCTACATTCATGATCCAAATGGGTTGTGTTGATCCATGGTGCTTCCTCCACCCGGTCACAAAGAACTTCTCCTACTTTTTAATATAATAAAAAAATTATATTAAATAATACTTTTCTCATGTTAAAACTACAGAATATTCTGCTATAGTAATTTCACACCATTCCCCCCACATTCTGGACTTAAAAATGACACCTCCCCCTCTTTTCTTTGGGAGACTTTCAAAGCTTTATTACGGGGAAAGATAATTTCTTACAATGCTCATTATGTCAAACAAAGAAAACTGAAACGTCAAGAACTGGTGGACTCAATCCTGGCAATAGACCGCCAATATTCAACTTCACCATCCCCTGAAATATATACGCAGAGAGGCTGAAACTTCAAACTCAGTTTAATCTGCTTTCCACTGATAAAGCAACGTTTCTGTTGCAACGAACAAAGGGTACGTACTACAAATATGGTGACAAGGCCAGCCGCCTTTTGGCACACCAACTTAAACGCCAATCAGCATCTCATCTCATCTCTCAGGTACAGTGGGGGAAAAAAGTATTTAGTCAGCCACCAATTGTGCAAGTTCTCCCACTTAAAAAGATGAGAGAGGCCTGTAATTTTCATCATAGGTACACGTCAACTATGACAGACAAATTGAGAATTTTCTTTCTCCAGAAAATCACATTGTAGGATTTTTTATGAATTTATTTGCAAATTATGGTGGAAAATAAGTATTTGGTCACCTACAAACAAGCAAGATTTCTGGCTCTCACAGACCTGTAACTTCTTCTTTAAGAGGCTCCTCTGTCCTCCACTCGTTACCTGTATTAATGGCACCTGTTTGAACTTGTTATCAGTATAAAAGACACCTGTCCACAACCTCAAACAGTCACACTCCAAACTCCACTATGGCCAAGACCAAAGAGCTGTCAAAGGACACCAGAAACAAAATTGTAGACTTGCACCAGGCTGGGAAGACTGAATCTGCAATAGGTAAGCAGCTTGGTTTGAAGAAATCAACTGTGGGAGCAATTATTAGGAAATGGAAGACATACAAGACCACTGATAATCTCCCTCGATCTGGGGCTCCACGCAAGATCTCACCCCGTGGGGTCAAAATGATCACAAGAACGGTGAGCAAAAATCCCAGAACCACACGGGGGGACATAGTGAATGACCTGCAGAGAGCTGGGACCAAAGTAACAAAGCCTACCATCAGTAACACACTACGCCGCCAGGGACTCAAATCCTGCAGTGCCAGACGTGTCCCCCTGCTTAAGCCAGTACATGTCCAGGCCCGTCTGAAGTTTGCTAGAGTGCATTTGGATGATCCAGAAGAGGATTGGGAGAATGTCATATGGTCAGATGAAACCAAAATATAACTTTTTGGTAAAAACTCAACTCGTTGTGTTTGGAGGACAAAGAATGCTGAATTGCATCCAAAGAACACCATACCTACTGTGAAGCATGGGAGTGGAAACATCATGCTTTGGGGCTGTTTTTCTGCAAAGGGACCAGGACGACTGATCCGTGTAAAGGAAAGAATGAATGGGGCCATGTATCGTGAGATTTTGAGTGAAAACCTCCTTCCATCAGCAAGGGCATTGAAGATGAAACGTGGCTGGGTCTTTCAGCATGACAATTATCCCAAACACACCGCCCAGGCAACGAAGGAGTGGCTTCGTAAGAAGCATTTCAAGGTCCTGGAGTGGCCTAGCCAGTCTCCAGATCTCAACCCCATAGAAAATCTTTGGAGGGAGTTGAAAGTCCGTGTTGCCCAGCGACAGCCCCAAAACATCACTGCTCTAGAAGAGATCTGCATGGAGGAATGGGCCAAAATACCAGCAACAGTGTGTGAAAACCTTGTGAAGACTTACAGAAAATGTTTGACCTGTGTCATTGCCAACAAAGGGTATATAACAAAGTATTGAGAAACTTTTGTTATTGACCAAATACTTATTTTCCACCATAATTTGCAAATAAATTCATTACAAATCCTACAATGTGATTTTCTGGATTTTTTTCTTCTCATTTTGTCTGTCATAGTTGACGTGTACCTATGATGAAAATTACAGGCCTCTCTCATCTTTTTAAGTGGGAGAACTTGCACAATTGGTGGCTGACTAAATACTTTTCCCCCCACTGTATATGACTCTTCCCGTAATCTTACAAGTGATCCCTCTAATATTAATTAAACTTTTGTGTCATTTTATTCTAACCTCTACAAATCCGAACCCCCATCAGGTAATACGGCTATGGACAACTTTTGAGAACTTGGATATTCCAGCATTTGATATGGACATGAGTGAAGTTCTGGATAACCCTCTGCATCTAGATGAGATTACAAAGGGTCTAAAGTTAATGCAAAGTGGCAAGGCCCCAGGCCCTGATGGCTTCCCCGTCAATTTTTATAAAATATTCTCAGATCAACTCGCCCCATTACTATTAGGTATGTTCACCGACTCGTTATCACAGGACTCTCTCCCCCCGACGCTAACTCAAGCCTCCATCTCACTTATACTCAAGAAAAATAAAGATCCGGCGGAATGTGGTGGATATCGGCCCATTTCACTTTTGAACGCTATTAAACTATTAGCTAAGGTTCTAGCATGCCAGTTGGAACCCTGCCTTCAGGATGTCATATCTGATGATCAAACGCGTTTCATCAAAGGGCGACAACTGTTTTCCAATTTACGCCGTCTTTTGAACATTATACTCTCTCCTTCTGTCTCTCCAGACCCCAAAATTGTTGTTTCTCTTGATGCGGAGAAGGCTTTCGACCGGGTGGAATGGGATTATTTATTTAAGATTTTGGGAAGATTTGGTTTTGGGTCCAATTTCATCTCATGGATACGTCTGCTCTATTCTGCTCCTACGGCTAGCGTACACACCAACTCTCAACATTCAAAATACTTCCCCCTCTCCAGAGGGACCCATCAAGGGTGCCCTATGTCCCCGCTCCTTTTTGCACTTGCGATAGAACCGCTTTCCTTGGCCTTAAAATTATCATCATTCACTGGAATCCACGGAGCTGGTGAAGAACACAAAGTGTCACTGAATGCAGATGATCTACTATTATATATCACTAACCCTGTGATATTTTAAACACATTTGGATCATTCTCAGGTTACAAATTGAATATTCAGAAAAGTGAATGTTTTCCGATCAACCCGGCTGCCAAAACAAATTCCCCCTGGAGCCCTGCCTTTCCGTCAGTCACCCTCTGGTTTTTCCTATTTAGGTGTGAATACATTCTCTGGCTACATTTACATTTACATTTACGTCATTTAGCAGACGCTCTTATCCAGAGCGACTTACAAATTGGTGCATTCACCTTATAGCCAGTGGGATAACCACTTTACAATATGTTTTTTTTTCTTTCTTTCTTTCTTTGGGGTGGGGTAAGGGGGGGTAGAAGGATTACTTTATCCTAT